TGGTGAATATTTAACAGAAATATCTAAAGGATCTTCACATAAAGTTATGATTCCTGTTAACAACTCAACTAAACATGAATCTACACTCAGAAGCAGATTGGTGATAGGACAATTTCAGTGGGTATAATCATGCATCCCATCTTTGCCCCCTAAAGATAGCACTAACACCAATGACATCACAGAGTCAAGCAGTACAGAGAATTCAGCAAATTGCTTGTGAAATGTTGAAGGATGAATCACATACACAAGCATTAGCAAAGAATGACAATGAAATAGGCTGTACTCAGAATTTAAAATTACACATCAAACTAAATAAAAGTACACCAGTTCATCAAAAATATTGATCATTACCTAAGGCATTATACTAAGAAGTGAAACAGTACCTTGAAGATTTGACCAACCAAAATTGGGTCACCAAATCCAGGTATTCATATTTCTTGCCATTGGCATGTGTAACCAGAAACAAGATGGCAGTTTATGGTTATGCATCGACTATTGTGAGTTGAACAAGAAAACACTACTAGACAGGCAACTAATCCCACGGATACAATGAGGTTCCTGGTTTTCTGTTCTTGATCAAGGCAAAGCATATCATCAAGGATATGTTGATAAAGAAAGTCAACCACTGACAGCTTTTGTTAGTCCATGGGGCAGTATGAAAAGCAGCGGGTTCCAGTTGGGTTAAAAGCTGCTCTTACTGAATGGAGAATACCTAGATAATATTCCTGTACATTAAAAATCATTTGAAAAGTACGAAGAACATATTAAGAGAGTTATTTGTAGAATAAAAAAACATGCATGTATTAAAAAACCAAGTAAGATATGGAAGATTATGTATGAACATGGATATAAACCTGATCCAGGGACACAATAGCAGCAAGGATATTAAACAATAAGCTTCCAAACACAGTAGGTGAACTACCGGTAAGAAAATAGCTTGGACTGTTAGGATATTATCGCCATTACATACAGGAATTCTCTAGAATTGCTAGACCATTATATGCACCCTTGAATGTCTCTAGTGGAAATCCTGAAATTAAAAGAAAATCTGAAGGGCAAAAGTCTGGAAAAGGGCAAAAACCATCACATCACCCAATCGACAACATCGACAAATACTAAAAAGTTTATATGACAAACTGGTGAACCCACCAAGGACACTCTCACCAGCTGAGAAAAATTACTACATGCATTCGGGCAAATTGGAATTCTTGGCTCTAAATAATTCGAGAACTATTTCTACTATGCTCCATCTTTTGTGATGTCAGCCACTTGTTTAAATGCAACAGGACATCACTGAGTAGCAGAACTCGTAGATTACAACGTTACCATCAGATACAGACAAGGCAAAACTCATAATTATACTGATGTTCTCCCTCGTATACCGACTGACATAGAACAATATGTACAGGAGTGTGGTGAAGAAGAAGTGTCCTAAGATGTTGTTTGTGCTACAGTCAGTCAATCAATGCCAACCATGAAGAAGAAACTGCCTGGGTAAATGCTGTTTTTTCTCAACGAATGTCTAATAAATGACACCCTAGACAACCAGGCACAAACCATAACACCATTAATCGGTGATGAAGTGAGGAGGACACAGCAAGGAGACTGTTTACGCTGATTACAAAAAGAGCAGATTAAGACCGATTAGAGCTCAACGCAGAGGAGAGATCCCAAAAATAAAGGCACAGATGCAGGAATATAACACCGTGACAGTAGATGATAATGGGGTATCACATCGAACTACCACATTAAGATCACAACTGGTATTACCTATAATGTATGGAGAACGTGTGTTAAAAAGCTGCTTGGAGATATGGGTCACCTAGAGACAGAACGTGTAGTGAATATGGACAGAGAACGCTCATATGTGACAATACATTTCTCAAATAGAAATACCAAACAATCAATACTAGAGCTCCGGTAGGCAACTACAAGTGGACCATTTGAATTGGTATCCATTGACTTTCTACATTTAGAAAGAGCACTGGTGGCTATGAGTACATCTTGTTAATTGTGGATTTCATGATCAGTTGATTCGCCCAAGCATCAATGATTTTATCTTAGGATTTGGATATCCAGCAAGGATACACTAGGTGCTGACCAGGGTGGTGCGTTTGAAAACTAACTATTCAAACGTTTGCAGGTGCAAGGTTTACAAGTGGAATGAAGTTATCACGAACTACCACTTACCATGCCATAGTAAATGGACAGGTGGAACAGATGAACTGAACTTTGTTGTCCATGCTTCAAACACTTCCAGAGAAAGAGAAGTCCAGATGGAAACAAATCTGTCAACAAAATGATTCAAGCCAATAACTGTACCAGAATTGAGGCGACCGTTTTTTTTTTTCCCGTTCTACCTGTTGTTTGGGAGATCCCCGCATCTACTTGTTGATCTTCTATTTGATCTGAATCAGGAATAAAACAATGGTAGCCATCAAGAAGCTTAAAAGAAAGAAGCATATAATCTAGCAACGAGGGGAAGGGGTATTATAATGGTGATATATTACCTAGTTACATATAAGTAGACATCTACATTACTTTTCAATATTAGTTTTCATATTGTATTGTATGCATGGCATGTCCAAATAATAGTGAAATCGTGTGTATCAGACTCAGAAGAGCTCGTTTAGATTATACGCAAATTCGCAAAGGTATTTGGAAATAACCATATTAGATGGAGTTCAACATTAAAATAGAATAGATTAGAATAGTCGCCAATTGAATAATAGCTATGAAGAAAATGATTTTTTTTTTCATTAGATCACAGGCAATAGACCATTTTCCGTTCACTGTGAGAATCACGCGTTATGCGTGAAATCGAACGTAAAAACAGGACAAACAAAGGTCATAGCGTCGTAGTCGCGTCAAACATCGCGTGGGATTCGACAAACGCGAAAGTATTTCGGAGACATTTCCATGCTTAATAATGTGCTGTCCACATTTGATGATAGGCAATTTCGATTAAGTAAGGGTATTCGGAAGCAATATTCCTCTGTCGAAGATCGGCCGGTCAATGTAATCTACGAAATAAAGAAATTCTAGTTCAAAATCAAATCGTTCGATTTTTGCGGCAGACGTTCGACGCGCGTCTTTCATGCATCTCGCGAGATCTCGCAATTGTACGGAAAATCACCTATTAACACCTGTATGGCACTTTCCCATCAAGTTTACTAACTTGAACATTGATAACAACACTGTGCATGTAAGATTGTTTTTATGACTGAACTTGTAACTGGGTCATGGTATTAGTATGCACACGCACAAAATACACAAAGCCGTTCATTATTGAAAATAGTGAAATCGATATATATATCGCTACATGTTCAGTGTCTCTGCTGACAATAATGAGGTGTATGGACATTTTTCTAATTTTACATAGTATGATGTATACAATCCGTAATAGGAAGTGTTTATTGAATGAACGAGCTTATGAATTCGTGAAAAGGTGTCCGATATCAACTATGAATAAAACATTGTTTGATAAAACTGAACTGGACACTTACAAGTTGTAATAGTTTAACCCATCTGATACACTGCTTTGTTGTTTTGATTAACTGTCACGTAGGCGTGTATGTAACTTTATTGCGTCTACAACGGTGCGTGTATGTAACTTTATTGCGTCTACAACGATCACTGGATCGTCTGGGATAGTGTCTGGTGATGTTGCAAAGTCCTTCGGTAATTGCTTACCAGGTGCGGTATTTTATGTAAAGGTCATTCTAGGTCGATCTCGGCCCCGGGAAATACCTGGAACCCATGTCTGTGAAAGGGATTTTCAAAATGACCCTAAACACGTTTTAAAAGGTCAAAACTTCGTACCTTATTCACTGTTAGAAAGCTGAAGATTACGCACCTTGAACTCGCGCCCGATCTAGCTATATTTGAGCTTTCTAACTCTTCAGTGTAAGCACGGGTTGGTCGTATGCCGTGATCGCCCGTGGTCGAGGGTCGTTAACCAGCGGACCGGAAGTTTTCCTCGTTTTTGCGATCATTGAATACAAAAAAAAAGAATATTCTCATTTAAAAAATAACCACCCTTATCCCGTTGGCAGTACCGGAAAAGACACCATTTTTTGTCTATTTTGACTGAAATGGTAACCCTAAACGCGTAACGCGCGTTAACGTGCTTTTCTTTAAAAAAAAAACATTCTTTTAACGCATTTTCTTTCACAGACATGCGTACCAGATCATTCTTTAAGTCGGACCTCGGGATCTCGGCAGAGTACATATTAGATTTAGTACCCTTTAGACTGACCCAGTCTTGGCAATGTTATTGTTTTATATGATAAATAACGAGTTTATAGAATCTCTGGCGTTGGCGCAAAGTGGTAATTGGGCTGTATGTCTGATTGGCTGGTTCCCGCCTCAAGTGTCATGGTGTACCAAGCCACAAGAGGCCGGTAACTAGTAACGGTTCTGGCATTCTGATTGGTACATCACTTTCTCGTTGCTTGTTCCATTTCCCTCACTTACCTGACGTCAGCGCTTGCGCTCGTGGCCATTCAGGGGTTTCCATTTGCTTTCGAAAGTTGGGCGAATAAAAAGAATTGTTTCTTTTGTTATAAATTTGCACAGAACATATCAAATCTGTAAATCTAAGCAGGCAGTATGTATGAGCATGGCTTTATTGTAGCATTACAGATACGTTTACGCAAAACGGCACTTGGAATGTTTTCAAATTACGTCACCCAGTCGCGTTCCTTCCGGCCGGAAAACCGGCCCAAATGGAACAATATGGCGATTACTCGTTACCTGCGTCCTACCTGCCATTCGCAAAGGACGATATATTGAAGATAATATTTGGTAATCGTAGTATTAAAAATAGTTATTTAGGACTACGATTACCAAATATTATCTTTAATATATCATACTTATCAGTCCGAGCAGCGTTTATTTATTTATAAACTACTATTCGCAAAGGACGCCGGGAACCAGCGAATATGTCTGAGTGCCCTCTATCTTTAGAATATTTCAACATTTCCAGTGAGAGGGCGCTATTACGTACACAACACGTTTTTCAAAATGGCGAAGCATCATCCTGATTTGATATTTTGTCGTAAACAGCCCGGTGTTGGTAAGTGTGATAACCCAAGCGAAATATCTAAAACATTTTCAGTATACTAGTATGCTTTGAGCCGTGGTGCAATTATGAGTAATTCGACATGAACGTATTTCCGTAAGATTTTAAACACGCGTGTTTTGTCTCTGGGGCAGAAGTTACAATACAACGTATATTCAGCTTTAGGTTCGTACTACGCTCGGAGGTCATTCATAAAAATAACTTGAGGTCTTGAAACATAATTTGATGACATATATATGCCTAATGTTGCGAGAAATATTTTGGGATTCGCTGATATTCGTGGTTATTTCGAATTCCTCCGCCTGCAGTTATTTGGAACATAAGCAAATACTGTGTGTATGAATGTGTAAAAAAATGTAATAATTCAGTTGGGAATACAGAAAGAGTTCTTTTTGTACCCCCACCCCTATCTCGAACCCAAACTCTAACCCTCACCCTATTTTCATGTGAGGGGGAGGGGGTTGTCGCCCCTAAGATCAAATTACAGGGGG